GCCTTTAAGTTAAGGAAGAATTTTCATAGAATAGATCTTTGGCCTTTTAACTTTCTGGGCTACTTTTGTTAACCTAAAATGCTTTATGTTTTTTTTTTCTATTTTTTATTCCTCTACGTGGAAAGGCTTAATTTGTTTATTATAGATTTGTAAAGATGGTTTATTATGAGCTTATATTTATATTTTTATACTTTTTCGAATTATTTCGTTAGTTTGTCACCGTAAAATGCCTTGAGACTTGTCCCTCGCCTCACCTAGGTAAAATGTCTTGGTGCTTGATTATTCTTTTTTAAACATTGGTTTTGGGCATGTGTTGTCCAGACTTGAGGAAGCTTTGTCCATAAGGGTGATGCAATTTCCATAGATTTATTTAGAAGAGGGAAAAGAAGGGGAGACTAAAATTACACGTCCTATTGGTGGTTGCTGAGGTTCCAACTGGATCTTCTAATGGGTGTAATTATGAACTGACAACAGTGGTAAAAAATGATTAATGGTGAAAAAAGATTCGTATTGGCTACGCCGAGTTTTTTGGGAGTAATAATGCTTGGGTTCTTCTAGTGGATTGCACAGTTGTGAAAAAGGATTAGTGTAGGCTAGATTAATGCTTAGTTTGTCCTTCTTCTTGTTTTGTCTTGGTAGACATTTCTTGAAAAAATGATGTAGCTGATGGTCCACATTAAATCTTTTGTTTGATTGACAGACATATATTTTGCTTAATAAATGAGTTGCTTATTTTAACATTCATTTTTTTACTGACAGCATTTTTCAACTCGACTTTTCAGGTATCAATCAACTTCATTTGGCTCTTTTCAAACAGTGGAACTCATAGAGACTTTTATGAACTACCAGGTAATATATCTCTACATTTTGCTTTATCATTTGCATTTTCCTGTCCAACAACCCTAGAAGGGAAGAATCTCGCACGACAATTTTAATTTTTTACTAGTAGTGATGATGATTTTTGAAGGCATGACTGAAATGCTTTTGATTAGACATTAATTGTTCTTGGCGACCTCTCCTGTTTGAGCTTCAGAGGCCTCGAAATTTATTTTTGGGATGCAAAAGAAACTCAAATGATTTTTCGTTCCGTGTATCACGAATGTTGTTGATCAGCCAAGAGCTTCTACATCTAGGCTTTCTAGCAAATGATCTGAGACAAGTTTTTAGTGACTTTTAGGTGGTTGAAGCACTTTCTTAATATTTCAATATTAAAATTCCTTTTCTCATTATTATCCAAATCATAATATCGTAGCTAGAGATAAACAGATGATTGTAGGCTTGATCATCTAATGCATTTGAAAACAAGGCTTTATCCTTCAAATTTTGTGTTAATTGTATACTGCATGTTCTTAGTTTCTTTCTATGCTAATTGAGACATTACATGCCAGGCTGCATAATTTGAAATAGCCAGTTGGCTCTGAAAATTTCTCACCAATCTAACATCGAATGCAGCAGTACAGTACTACAGTATGCATGCAATTTCACCATATTATTAGTTTTTACGTGCCTTCTGTTATATCTTCTGGTTGCAGGAGAATATTAGGCGATGTGTTTGTATTGTTTACGATCCATCAAGATCGAACCAAGGCGTCCTAGCTTTGAAGGCTTTGAAGCTTTCTGATTCATTCATGGATCTTTATAAAAATAATAACTTCACTGGTGAAAAGTATGCTTTTCTCTTCTTCCTCTTCTCCTTTCAAAGATGACCAAAAGGATCCATTTGTTTCTTTGATTAGTCCTTAGAGGATTATAACTAATTTTATTAAGTAATAAGGGTTTGCTTCTCAGGTTGAGGGAGAAGAATCTTTCATGGGCGGATATCTTTGAGGAGATTCCTGTATGCCACATCTCTTGTTCTCTTTAAAGCCATTCAAATCTTAATTTTGACTCTTGCAAGAGCTCTGTATGCTGCATTTTTCTTTTATGACCATGCAGCTAATTATTTGTTTTCTCATGCATCTTTTGCACGAGTTACTTGAAACATATTTCCAGGTTCTCACTTTGTAAATGAAGTTTCAGAGTAGGCTCTGTGTTTTCCTCGAAATGTAATTTGGAAAAGTTTGAACTTTATAATTTAGAAATTATAATAACTAGAACTTAATTTTATGACTCAACAATTAATGGCAAGTAATCCATAATTTTAGAAGGTGATTTATGTGATATGCAGACCTTTTAACTTTCCTCTTTGAAAAACATAAATTTGTGATTAGTAACATGCAAGTGGTCCCCACACTATTTATTTTACCTTACCTTACATGGAAAATCAAATGTTTCCTGATACTGTTAGAGCCCCCCCTTTTTTAATTGGTTGTTTCTTTGTGATTATATTTGGTTTTATTTTTTATGATGCTTATTTGCTTTGTTTCTCTAATCAGGTGAATAATTTCAAGGAAGATGAAAAAGATGACTGTAGTGATGATTACGATAATAGCGACAAGGATGAGTATAATAATGATGGTGATGATGACCATGGGAACCATGATGAGGATACTGATGTTGAGAGCGAGAATGAGGAGGAGGAGGGAGGAGGGTCGGAGAATGACAATGATGATGAACAGAAGGATGATGAGATGGAAGAGCTCGAGATAGAATACAAGAAACTTCTAAATGAGGAGCAGTAAGTCCTCGCATTTCATAACATACCTGTTTGTTCAATTTTTATTTATTATTGGAAAAAAATTAATATGTGGTCTTTCAGCCAGGTTGCCAACTTAATATCATTTTTGGGATCAAGTTTTGTTTATTCTTGGTTTTAGACATTTAATTTATATTGACTTACTGTGACTGTTAAAATCGCCAATTACAATTTAGGAGGGGATAGTTCATATTAAACATATTAAAAGAAGTTTTAGGCTAAATGTTCTTTGAAATTCTTGTAAGGGAGTTGAGGAAAAAAGATTTCAATATTTGTGAATAGTTTAGAAGACTTAGTTGGATCAACATATGTTTTATGAGCCTTTAGGGACCACGTGCTTTAGCCAATCGAGAGCACAAAAGTTTTTTGAAAAATCAAGGTAATTTAGTTTATATAGGTTGGTAATATTTTATATTCATCACCTTTGACAAATTTTTTTCGATGAGCTTTAGAATGAAAAAAATATCTAACAAAAGTCCTCAAATTTTCCATTCAAGGCGAATTTCATGTATGAACTACAAATTTTATAGCTTTAGGCTTTTTTTGGCTGAATATTACCCCTCCCCCAGGTGAGACTTAAACCCAAACTCAAGTAACTAAAATGTGTTCTCAGTGGTTTAAATGTCAGTTCTGATTTTTGAACAGCTAACTTGATATAATATCATTTGTTTATGTTTCCAAATATAAATGGTACTAGCATCATAATTGTCCTCTGGCGATCTATTCGACTACTTGGCTCTATTTGTTCTTTGTTACAATGATGCTGCATTATTGACTATCTAAGGTGATTTTGTATAAAAATTATATATACATATATTATATGCAAACTTATTCCTTTGTTGACCAGAGATCTTTTGAGAAATCTAAAGGGGCATAAGGATGATGATATTAAAAAAGGTCAAGCAGTAAAAAATCAAAGGGTACGAAGCTTTCTAATCATCAGTTTTTCATTCAAACAATGCACCTTT